ATTCAGCAGAAAAAAAAATATTTATTTTTTTACACGAACACGTACGACTTGAAGAACAGAGCTCAGCTCACTGTGATGGGTGTGTTTGTATTGAGCAGGACTGACCACAGCTTAAAGCTCCTGTGGGATCAGCGTGCTACTCAAGGGCACTTTGCCTGTCACAGCGGGCGCTGCAGATGCATCACAAGCCACACTACAGCCACGAGCTCACCGCTGTAATGCACCGCCTCGTCAGTGACAAAGATCGTATCAGCGGGTTGATATGTTTCATCAGGAGGAGAGGAGTCAGTGTAAGAGCACACGTCGATGAATAATGTGCTTTTTAGAAAAGGAAGAAGCAGAAAGGAGTGATGGAGGAGCGGTGGCGGGGGGCGTGCAGGGACAGACACATTAGACAAAGAGGAAATTGGTCAGTAAAAAAAAAAAAAGAAAAAAGGGGAGAGTAATGCTGATGCCTGTTGCCATGGTGATTTGGGTCAATGACTGGTTGCCATGGTGATTGCTACTTGGAATTCTGGGAAGGGATATTTTGGCGTGTGCGTGTGGATGAGGGGAGACGTTTATTCAATATAACTGAGAATGTGCAGCATGCGTCTGTGTGTACGGACGGGCACCTTTATAACAGCAAGTGTGGTAACTTGTGCTGCAGTAGGTCAGGCAATGCTGCTCAAAATTCAAAGTAAAGAAAGATAACGGTGCAGCCTGTAACCTGTCATTACTTTGTGTAAGGATGATTTAGTCTCTAAGGTCTGCATATTTGAGCCTTTGTGTCTTTGAATTTGGTCATCAAAGGTCAGAGGTCACTGTGACCTCACTCAAGGATGTACTTGGTATTTATGACCAGTGTTGGTCAACTTACTTGAAAATAGTAATTAGTTACTAATTACTGATTACTTCCCAAGAAAGTAATCCCATTACTTTACTGATCACTTACACAACCTGAATACATTGTAAAGCAATAGACAATTCAATTTTTTCTGCATAATCCATCAGATGAAATTCGAAGGAAAAAGACTAAAAAAATGTTTTATTAGTTTTCATCACTAACTTTATGCACTTTGCATCAAGCAAAAATTAAATTATATGCAACAGTCTTTGACTTGAAGAAATTTGTTCAAAATTTAAACCTTTTTTCTGCGTATTCCAGCGTATAAAATAAAATAAAATAATGTTTTGTGTTTACACTCACTCTTTCAAATAGATGCAAGTAAAACACAAGAAACGCAAAAAAGGAATAAAATCAAAGACTCCTGTCGCTCTTAAATCTATTGTCAACTGTTTAGCAGGAGTGGAGCCGGTGGAGGTTTGCCCGGTGCCGCAGTGCTCATGTCAGTGGGGGGATCCGGGGGTTTCTCTGTGAATTTCACAGTCATACTCAGATTGCATACTCAGATTTGAAGTTTAATTTTTCGCTGTAGAAAGAAGTTTTCTTTCCACACAGAGTGTACAGCGGACGCTAATGTTTTTATCAGCTTTTACGGACTCAAACTTCTAATGTCAGTACTTCAACGCATTAAACGTTGCACGGTCGTACTTTCTTCCACACTCCATATTATCCATTGTTGTTCTACACATTTCTGTTGCTACCACAGCGTCGCACGCTTGTACGTCATTGTCATGAGACACTGACAGACAAAATCACAGTTTAGTAACGCAGTAATGCAGCGTGCTTCTGGGAAAGTAACAGTAATCTAATTACTTTTTTTGCAATAGTAATCCCTTACTTGCAGCATTATATATATATATTTGAAAAACTGACTGGTCAAATTCAATCAGAGTTAGATTTATATGCAAATAAATCCATTAATGCACTCGACATAAATCTGGACAAAAACAGCCAAGCTTTCATATCAGAAACGTTGGTACAGGCATGCATCCATTCAGTCATTCTACTTTTTTTATTCTTATTTTGTTTGTGTGTGTGGCAAAAAAATGTTCTTTTAGATTGTTGTTTCAGATATCAGTAAGCTTTTCTTCACACAGCAGTAAAAGCCCCATAATGTATTCATCCTCATTGTTGGCAGAAACGACCTGCATGTTAATGGAAGTAAATTTGGCAGATTGTAGGTTTTATGCCTAATTTGAGCCTTCTGATGAAACCCTGTTGTTAATGGGTTTCTGGGTCAATGTGTGTCTTCTGTTTTTGTATCTTTGTTTGCATGTGTCTTTGTGTGTCTGTCCAGGTGCGTAATCAACTCCTCATTCATTTGGTGAGTCACACTTTTCTGTGTGTGTCAGTGAGGGGTGGGAGTGCACTCTCCACGTGAAATAGTGAATATGTAGTGAAAACAGGAGTATGCCATTCAGTCCCCACAGCTGCCTGGCTTGATGAGTCATCTGGTAAACAATAATAAATGTGATACAACAAACTGTTATAAGAACAGCATGCTCGTTATGCATGCATTTACAACCCTGCTCACAGTAAAGTTCATGTTCTGATGTAAAGCAAATTTGATTGAAATTCAAAATGAGATTGATTACTTGGTTTCAACATTAAAACAGTGTTGCCTTCATACTATTTTCTACTAAATTAAGGCATATAATTAAGGTATTTTAGCTCTTAGGTCTGGGCTTGCCTGCTATCAGCAGACGTGATTCCTTTACTTCTGTCCTCTAGGTCCTTGAAGTGATGCTGATGTGAATGTGATGCTGTGTGACAAGCTGAGTCTGGAAGACATGAGGGAAAGCTCAGGGCATTGAAGTGTGTGCGTGTGCGTGTGTGTGTGTGTGTGTGTGTGTGTGTGTGTGTGTGTGGCATGTGAAGAGATGTGAGATGACGTAGCGTGCAGGCTGCATGCTACAGTACACCAACAGCATGGGGAACAAGAATAGACTCAGCACACTCGTAGGTTGTAGTTGAGGCTGATGGGTGTGCGCATGGTGGTAGTGCACGTGAGCCCCC